CTGATTGTTCCTTTTCCCCACTGATTAAAAGGAGGTTAAAATATACAGGGGTTATTACATTCTACCGGAAAAATACCCCTAATCCCTGGAAAATAATCAGCAAAACGATTTGTATTGGCAAAGACCCACGCAAATAGGAAGAATTTTAGGGGCTCTGCACTTTTTCGTGTTGGAAAAACACTGGCCCTGAGGGGCTGAAATCTGAATAAAAGACGTGCGAGGTGTCTAATAATTTACTACATTATGGTCCTATTCATATGGAAATAGTATTATGTAGGGACTTCAGGAACTGTAATTAAGAGGCCAGCAACTGCTATTATCTGTGCAACTCATTTTGTGAAAATTAATGAAATCATCAGTGTCTCATAGAAGTAAACATTTACCAGTTCCTCGTTTCCTGAGGCGCCAAAGCAGAATTTGAGGTTTACACTGAAAAGGTTATAGAAGCAAAGACGCATTTTAAACACCAAAACAAAAATAGTATGTATGATATCATGACAATAAAATGGCAGAGTACTCACAGGTGCTTCTTATGACTGAAAACCACATTTGTATGTCTTAATCCTGTCCAAACCTTCCTGCCACGACAGATCCACTCAGATACAAAATATTACAGGAAATCATCAGGACAGCTGGGATACAGATTGTTTTTTTAACTCGGAAATATCCAGCTGTCAAACCTCTGGAGTCTCAAGGTTTTTTTTAAAATATATATTTCTAGGACAAAAATTAGTTTTCAATGTGGTTTTGGCAACATTTCTGTTTTATACAACTGTTTTATGCTGCCTGCAGACCCCGGAAGGCTCAATATCTGAAAATGATTCATTATTTCAATATAAACCGCTGTGAGCAGTGTGAGTTTACATTGTATCGTGAATGTAAATAGCAACGTCCAGTTTCAAAATAAAGTTATGGAACAGTCATAATTTGGTTTACGCACAAAAAATACTTAAGTTACATCAGGTAAATAATGTATGTTACAAGTTCATTTAAGTAAACGAAACTTACATAACGTACCTTCGTGTAACTTAACTACATAAGTGAACTTTTACGTTGCTTACAATAAATTGATAACTTTTGGTTTCACACGGGGACATGAACAGTGGCCTCCTTGGTTGAAATCCTTCTACGCAGACTTTATCTCTCTTTATTAGGGGTGTAAATATTTACTGTTGCAAGTCGGAAATCGTTTTTTAACGTTATAGATGTGGACTCCTGGATTGATCTAATTATACCGTGAACTGGTCGATGGTCGAATTCTGAAGTTCTGAATCAGTTTGACTGAAGCTTTGCTGCTAACAGCGTCTCCACTCTTGTGAAATGTAAACGGTTTCGCAGAAAGAACAAGGAGACGTTGTCTGAATCGTATTATAGCCCATGTATGTAAATACATATCGGATCGTCATAGAAGGGAGAAATGCACACCCCGACTCTTTATACCACGTCACCTGACTTTAACGGCGGGTGTGTCTACCTTACAGCATCATACTTTGAAATGGAGGGCCACTAGTGGAAGTATTTGACAATTTGATACTGAGACAGGGTTGATACTTTTTACTAGAAGTATTTTGCGATCTTTGCATATAAATTCAAGTTTCCTCATTTGGTTGGTGAAAAACTGATTCCCAGTGGCTTTACAGTTCTCTTAAAGTAAATTTGCTGTTATAAAATAGCAGTATATAAATGCAAGTTTTTTAGGATACAGGGTTGTTTTATTCAATAGGAGCTCGAGGGGAAGCACCGTGGGACGACTTACATAAACAGACAACAGATCTTTGCAAATTATCCTGAGTAACACAAAAATACTCGTCATGTTCACCAACAAGCCTCAGATATAAAATGATTTAAGACATAATGGCAACCGTCCTCAGTCACTGATAGTGGACTGGCAGAAGTTGTTCCAATTATTGTCCTGCATAAACTAGATGAACCTACTATTCCAAATTGTCCCCAAAGTGGTATAAACAAAAAGTTATTTGAGCAGTATGTGTAAAAATCAATAAAGAGGCACCCACACACCCCACACACAGAATAAATACTATCTTCATGTCTACTGAAGTTCACAGCCAGTGCCAGTGTCTCCTTTCATCTTCCCCACAGTGAGAGGAAGAGATGAGAAAGAGCGAGAGATGAAAAGAGCTGCAGAGCTGGACAGAAAAGGCACTTAAGAGGTATTCCTCCTCATAGTTGGTCTGTTTGGGAAAACATTATTCGTTTGTTCGTGTGGCTTCATCCCTCCATACGCTCCTGGCTGCAGGGCTCCTTGGGACTTCCACAGAAGCCATTAAGCTAAGCTAGCTAATGGACAGAGATAGTACGGATTTCACCAAACATAACTCCGTCCCCTCTGTGTTCATCAAGCAAAACAAGGGATACATTAGATTGCTGAGCTGATGTAGGGTGACCATATTTTCAAACCCCCAAACTGGGACCCTTGAGTTCCTATATGCCTACCTCATGTTCATGCACCCACATATGTATGTGCTCCTCCACGCATGTTTCCATCAGGATGGGGGACAATTCTTTCAGTGTTTATCACACACCTACTGAGTGCACCATTAAACCCCACAGACGCCATGAAATTAGGTTATATAACTCAGTTTGGGAACAAAGACACCGTTCCCTCCCATCTTCTTGCTGCCAGCCACAGTCCATCTCCAAATCCATCCATCCAAGATCCTGATGTCTCCCGCCATCCCTTCATACCACAACCTTCCTCCCCATCCCTCAACCGCAATCCCTTCATCCCTCCTACAGTTTATTACGTTGGTTCACTTTTATCCTTTATTTGCAATAAACCATTCTGATTGCATATCTCATTGCCATGGTCTTTGTTCGTGAATGCAGTATTTTCGTTGCCCAGTATCTGCTGAAGGAAAGAGCATACATGTTCTGTTTGTCATAGCCTTGAAAAACAAGCGTAATATTGTAGTTATTGTTTTAATTGTTGGTATTGGACATTTCAGTTTTGCAGATACTTGTTGCCAATCGGGACGACAAGCTTGAAACACACAAACTGGAACGTCTGGTCACCATAAACTGATGACAAATTCTCTCTCTTGCCTTCATGCAGCTTCCTGCCATAAAAGTTGAATATGTCCTCTTTGCCAAGTACCTGTTTGGTGAATTGTATCGTCTGTCTCGAGTCATTTCCAAATGGATAACATGCGGACCCTTTCAAATACATACAGGAAGATAGAACCTCAAAACAAGCTCCAGCAGATGGTTCAGGAACGGTGTTCTCACAATGCAGCGTGTCCACAAATAAGATACTCAAAGTATTTATCATCTTCCATAATGAACCTCTTCAGTGTTTTTTTATATACGCACTTTTCCAGAGTAAGCCTTTCAGCCTCTTCAGATGCAGTTCTAGGACAACGTGGAGGACTGAACAGGCTTTTAGATAAATCAGGAATGAGAATTAGAAACATAACCCTGCTATGATTCATCAATCATGTATGGTGCTGAGAGATTATAAAGAAAAACACAATATAAATTCAAACAAATACAAAATAGCTTAATATGCGAGTCCTGTAAGGGGATTAAATAATTTAGATATTAGTAGTAGAAAACTTTACCCGATCCCTGCTCTCTTCACCATGAAGTGCTACTCCAAATACACACAGAATACATAGTGTGTTGTTGTAAATTAAGAAGTCCTATGGCAGTATTGTTTAATGTATTCATGTACAAGTTAGCAAGAGATTCAGATATACGCAGGGCAGTTACGTGGCTTTCTATCAGCCTCGTGGGTGGATTGCTCGACCTTTAGTGTGTCATAGTTGGTTGTTTGTTGGCAAGTCGCTCATAATGTGATCGGAACATGAGGATTTAGTAATAAAGGAGATTTCAGGACATAAAATGGACTTCATGGAGCAGAGGCTTGTGGCTTTTACTTTTTCCTTACCCTAAATCTCAGTGTGTTCTTGGAACAGCCTTAAAAAGATGTCCATCTGTCTGTTAAAACTGGACTAAACTGTGTTCCTCTATTTTTGCAAATTATAAACTTTATTTTAATTGAATTTAATGACCATATTTTATTTTCAACATGTAAAAGGTTCTACAGGACAGATTTCTTCCCATCTTTGGGTAATACGGATAATGTAAATTTAGCTGTGGACAAGGTGATGGTGCTGTTTCCCCGATGGCCAGGGAACATAAAGGTATACAACATGGCGGATAGTATGTGGATACCCTTTCCAGGTGGTTTCTTGCACAAAGCAGGTCCATAAAGACATTTTTAGATTAGATTCAACTTTATTGTCATTGCACAAGTAAAGGTACTAGGCAACGAAATGGCTTGGAACCTCAACCACAATATCTTTGGCATGAACTGGACTGCTACCGAATCAGACCCATCACCTCACTGAGGCTCTCAAATCTCTGCTGGTGGGGTATTGCTGATAGTCATTTACATTTGTCTGTGTATTCATACACTTTTAATTGCCACAGAACAAACCGCAGCACAACAGTGTAGCTGGGGACACGTTCATCGCCATGATATTAGACAATGTCACATTCTATACTTGGCTGTCTCCACTGTCAGCAGGCTGTGAAATGGTAATAATTACTTTGTAATGCTAAAACGGATTAAGCAAGGCTATTAGCATCACTAGCAAATTAGACATCCCATGCAAGTGCTGTGTGTGCCTATCTGCAATCTGCCACCTACTGATTCACTCTGCTTTTAGCTTTGAGTGACACTGACAGTGATTTCAGTTGGACAGGATACAGATAGTCCATCTGTGGTGTGTCTAATAAACCTACTTTGGAGGCTGAAAGTAGCCCCATGACACACTGTGTGTGTGTGTGTGTGTGTGTGTGTGTGTGTAACTTTGCGTGTGGCGATGTACATGTGGATAGTTTATGTGTGTGTTCGAAACTGTGCATATTTTTCGGGAACGCATGACCTGTTTCTCAATCTGTTCATGTGTTTTTTATGTTTTTTTATTTCTACCCTTACATGAATACACACACTCTACTGTACTGGACACCCAAAGCAGCCCTGGGGACGGAGCGGCACGGCTGGCTAACAAGCTCTGTCGTCGGCCAGGGCCTCAGTGGTGAGCTGTGGTCACAGGCCTTCCAGATGGACCTTGGTGCTGGATGAGTGATGCATCATAGCTGGCCTGGGTTCAGCCAAAGCCCCCCCCCCCCACTGTCTTAGCCAGCTCTCATCACAGCCCAGACCAGGTCCAGGACCAGAGGGAACCATGTCATTCCTCTTGCTTTGAAAATGTGTCTACTGCCTCCCTCACAGGCTCTTTGTCTCCATATTTCTGCGATCATTTTTTACATGTTGAAAACAATCATGTCCTCACAAACACCATCATCCATTGCCACCTGTCTGTTCATTGTTGTTTGCATCCCTTGATGGTAATTGGTGTTAGGCAGCGGTTGCCCTCAGGACCACTAAGCACAATACACTGTATATGCATTGTGTACCATACAAAACAGAATAAACATCATTTAATTTGCATGCTTATCGCTAAAGCTGCACCCTGTGGCTTGACCGAGGTAATAAAGCTGTTTCTGATATATTCATACGTGATGGAGCCACAGCATCTGAAATACCACCGGGAGGAGTAGGCGGGAGGACATGGGAGGAATGAGAGGGGAGGAAAATGGTAGTCTGTGTGTGTGTGTTGGGGGGGGCAGAATTAAGCTGGCTGACGGTGCTTCCCACGCAAAATACTAGAGTAAAGTTGCGTTCCCACAGAGGGCGAAGCAAGCATCTGCCTCGCATTACTCATGCAAATTTACCCGTGGGTTAATTTGAATTTACTCATGTTACATGCACAAGGACTTAATCTCAATAAACAGATCAAAATGATGCCAAAATAACTACTAACTAACTAAATAACTATCATAGTTCGTCGGGTCTGTGCGCTAGATGACAACTTTTAAAATGCTTCTGAATAGAGTTTGGTTGATCAGGGCTATGATAACCCCAGGCCATTCTTAACACAGCCTCTTTTCAGTCTGGTTGCAGAGAAACTCAAGGCTAGGCACAGGATACAAACCATCAGAAAAACAAGACGGCCTCCAGACTGTCAGCGGAGAGTCTGGAAAACAGGGAAAATCATGGGCTCTATCTTGCACTCAGCGCAATTGACTTTGTACACTGGCGCTTGTATAATTCCTATTTTGCACTCGACGCACATTGGAATTTTCCCTCCACCGACGCACGTCCTTAAATTAGTGAATGAACTTGCGCTCCAGGGGGGCGGTTCAGCAAAAAGAGGAGGCGTGTTCCGGCGCAAACGTTCCCTGGTGCTATTTTGCTGTTTCAGAAAACAATTCCGCCACAGACCAGGAAAAACCTAGTCTAAAGTCAGTGGCGCTTATTCAGATGCATTTTAAGGGCGCAGACTCGAGGGGATGCGCCCGAGAGGCAGCAGCAACATCGCCACCCGGTCAAGACGGGCATTAATACTTTGCCGTATCCCGGACAGCTCCCGCTCCAGCATGTCAAACCCGGTTTGCTGCAGGAACGGGTGGTCCTCCGGCGTGTAGTGGGTCTGGATCCTCTGCTCCTTGGTGTTTGCCCCGCTCCCTCCTCAGTTGGCCCTTGCGCACTGCTCGGCCCGTGCGCACTGCTCCAGAGGCCAGGGTCTTCTTCCTGCGAAGCTGCGTTACATTGTTTTGATTTATTGTATGGCTGTGTTACATTTATTTCATGTCAATAATGTCACTTCCTGGTATTTTACGGCCCTGATGAGAACGTCGGTCTCCTCGGCTGTGAACCGCTCCTGGCGTGCGCCTGGCCAATCCGCCGTTATAATAGCAATCCGCCATGGAACAAGCGCGCCTGCTTTTAAAGGGAATGTGAGATGACGCTCTGATTGGTTTATTAAACAACACCTATGACTAATGTAGCTACTTCAGACCAACCCATTTTAGATTTGCGCCAGGCGCAAGAGTAATTTATCCCGCCGGCATAATAGCAACAGCACCCGAGATCCGCCCACAAAGCTACTTGCGTTTTGCGTTTGATACTTGCGTTTCAGATCGGCAAGATAGGGCCCCATAAGTTCAAGGGATTTTTTGGAGCCCTGTTTGCCTGTCCATGAAAATTTAAAAATCTGGCTGCTTGTGAAACTTTAGCGTGTGGATGTGAAATCTTTCTGCACACACATAATTCTGCACATTGAAGCTGAAATATTCAAACTGTAAGTAAGACCTTTTACAGTGTACACAAAAAGTGGAGGGTGCCTTTAAGTGCTGTGAAAGCACCACAAGCCTTACTGTTTTAATGTAAGGTAGGGACATTTAAATATACCAACTAGACTAACTTCTAACTTCATAGACATACAGAAATAGTACCAGTTTGTCTCCCTCCTGTAAATGGCTTGTTTGGTTGCAAACACTCATGTTCAAACACTCAAAATCAAAGTGTTTAAAATCAAATGTATTGGCAGACATTCAAAGAAGTAACTCTAATTTTAATGGAGATCCTTGAACATGAGTTCACTTGGGTTCAGTCAACATCCAGAGTAGATTGAATTAATGTTTAATGTTCCACAATGTGAAAAAACATTTCTGTAGACAGTTAGGATACATATTGTTTGATATAATTAGCTGAAAATAAAAAGATGCCAAGCATTATTGTATTTTTTGTTGATTTTCTTTCCTACTCTTTAAATTTGAATTTTCTTCTTTTCATTTTTTAACCAGTCCATTTATAACTTACCAGTGTATGCAGACACAGCAGAGTCTGCAGGACCCATAACAATTCACACTGATATGACTATACTCACATTTTATTTTATTTAATTTGATGTATATTCTCTTTTGTCCTGCCACTGTTAACAAGTGTGCTCCAGTATACTTTGGACTATATCTCTTTAGTTTCTCTGAATGCTCACAAAAGCTTAGACTTGTGATTTCTGCCGACTGTGCTGAGGAAAAAATCATCCTCTTGATGGTTGGGGGGACCTGCGGCTGCTCCTGGGTGTGCATAGGGTGTGCTCATCGTCCAACCTTCTCTGGATGTGGGCTTCATCCATCGTCCGCTTGATGTGTTTTTAGGCTATCTCCATGTTCATCCTCACCTTGCAGTGAAACTACACAGAGGGATACACAGCTTTTCATGCCCCGTGGTCCTCTGGACTCCATCATGCTAAGTTCAGGGACTGCTCCTGCCAATGGGGTTCTGTCCAATGTCTTGAGAATAGAAACATACTTACCATTAAGCCACGCTCTTGTCAACTGTAAACAGGAAAGAACATTAGTGTCTCTGCCACACAATTTCCATGATGTGTACATGTGCACAGTGTTGTCTTCAACAGGATGTAGGCAGTTCTCAGCTGCTGGTCACACCCAGAGGTACCGCTTGTTTCAGTGACATCCACGTCACTGTAGGTGATGCAGTGGCCAGTCTGGTCCTCCTGTCCCACATCTGGATCGACCCCATCACTGATGTAGCATCCTAAAAAGGAGAGAAAGCGTTGTTACATTGGCTCTCTTAAGACTCATTGGAAATTATGTGGGTGTGATGGAAACATTTAAGAAGATGAACCACTCATACTCGATAAAGAGTTCAGGAGACCTTGATGACTTGCACAGCAAAATTTATTGAAGCTCGGCCGAGGATAAAAAGAATACAGCAATACATGTGTAACACAGTGCATTTGCCAACCCAGTTATGAAGGTTATCTCCTGTTGGGGGAGATAGGGGTAGTGGTTCAAAACATACTTTAAGCCTGTCTATGCTATCCTAAGTCACGTTGAATGGCAACATCTGCAGAAGACATGGTGTATTTTTCTGTATTTTTACATGAAGCCAACTTCTTTCAGTGCACAGGAAAAATAAATAGTCTTATAAAGTCTGCCAAAAAGCAAAGGCAAAACAGACCATCCTATCAGCAGCAGAGAGGACAGCTATAGGAGACAAACTGTCTTTACCAGGCTGAGGAACATCAGAAATGTACTAGTATAGTTACTAGAGGATGCATGAGGAGAATACGGGATGAAAACCGCCTTGTATTTATTGATGTATTTCTTTTATTGCCCCCACCCTCTGTAGCTCTACAGGCCCACAGTGAAACTTCTTCACAATGTACAGGCAGCGGGAGATCTGTAAGATTTGAACATGACACTTCACCAAGTATGCCAGAAGAAATATAAAGAGACTGAGCATGAAAACAAAGCTGGGAAGTTATGCAGTGATTTCACATGTGTGTTTCTTAGTTATTAGTGTGCTTTTTTTAAGAATTGATAAATGGAAATGGATCTGTTTCAGTGTGAAAAATATGCCTGTGTGGATTGCTATTTAAAACACAGTTATAATAACACTTTATTTATTGTCTTTTTTAATGTATGAAAAGCCGCCCGGCTGTGTTTTGTATTAACTGAAGGAGTGAGATTGTAACCATGAATACAATGAATAACAATGATCAAGACGTGATTATAAAAAAACATCTATGACTTTCTCAAGAGCATGAGAGAGGAGAGACCAGATTTTTGAGATGCTCCTAAATTTGAGGACACATGATTGGATGACTCTTCACCCAGGTTATTGGCTGCAAGTTTGATATTTGCAGACAGGGACTGTTCTCCAGGGTGGGAATGGCCTATGGAGAATTTAATGCAATCCTTTTTGATGTATTTTCCTTTAGCTAGAGCATTTTTAAAAACTTTAAAATTGATTTCAGAAAGATATCATGTGAAGTAAGTTGCCGCCTACACTGTTTTTTAACGATACATAGATCTGGATATCATCCACATAATAATTGTAATGGATATTGTGTCTGAGGCATGCATTCATCAAACAAAAGGTGACCAAGGATTGAGCCTTGGGGAATACCACATCAGAAAGGCCACTTAAGAGGAAGCAACCAACAGCTTTTGTTTGCCAATTACAATTGAAACCATTCTAAAAGGAGAGCGACTCCACTTGCGTACTCGCTTGGCTCAGCGAGAAACTCTGGACAGACAGACAGACCAGCCTAAGCGCTCTACACGTGGTAACCAATTGGTGGAAATTCTCTGTTATTGTTGGAAGCTAAAGTTAGCTAAATTAGCTTAGTAATAACTTTGTATTCTAGCTAATATTATAGCTGAAGTTAGCTGAGACATCCCGTCTTCTTCAATGCTCTGCCATGCCAATTCCCCCCGTTAATGTCCTGATGCGTGTTTAGTGTTTAAATGTTATATAGTTATATTGTTCATGAAACTCACAAACAATAAGGCAGCAGGTGGGCGTGTCTGTGAGACCAGCAGACTGCAACAGTTTCATGAAATCGCACCCGCTTGTTGCTCCACCTGTCAGACTGACCGTGCCTCCGTGCCTGCCCGTTCACCTCTCATTGAAAATGAATTATGAGGCACATCAATCACTCCCCATCTGAGAAGACCTTAAGGCAGTATCCCTGATACAAATCTGTTTTTCTATGCAATACAGCATTGCATAATCAACAGTATCAAATGCGTCATGAGGGCATTTTCAGTGCTGTAAAGGTTAGGTTAGGTTAAGTTTTATTTTTCCGATCATTTAAAAAATGAATTCACAATAATTTCCATGAACAGTTTCTTGAACATGTTCATGCAAACAAAACAAAACAAACAAAACAAAGATAAGAGAAAAAATGATAAGATACATAAACAAAACAATTAATATATCATCATTCTTTCCTCATCCCTATATGTTTCTCTTACAAATTATTTATTCTCTCTTTTATTCTCTTTTGTTTTCTTTGACCAAAAAAAAGGTGTAGACTGAAGCCTAAAACATGAATTCACTTTCTTCAAACAAAACTTCAGTAGCAATGACTTTTAAACATGACAAAGTAAAATAAATTAACTATTTAAGTTCTCATAACAAACTAAAAACACAAATATCCAGATACCTGATTTCAAAAATTCACAAATCCCCACATTCACTTCTTACATAACTTTCTAATGTTTTGGTTTTAAATAATTTCTTAAATGAACCCATATTTTTACTTTCATTCAATTCAATGTCACAATCATTCCATAACTTCCCTCCATACACTGACACACATCTCCTTTCATATTAGTTCTTGTCCATTTCCTTTCAAAAATGAAATTTCCCCTCAGTAGATGAGTGCTTGTCCTCTTTGTGAATAACCCTTGGATACAGTCTGGAAGTGTTTCACAATGTGCTCTATACATTAACTGTAATGTTTTAAAGTTAACCAAATCCGTAAACTTAAAATTTTGAGAGTGCACGAATAACATATTGGTGGGGTGTGTGTATTCAACCTTGTTAACCAGTCTTATAGCTCTTTTTTGCAACAAAAAAAAATGCAATTTGTATTAGTTTTGTAAGTATTTCCCCATATCTCTATACAGTTTGTAATGTAAGGAGGAGTGAGTGAGGAATACAAAATTAATAATGATGATTTATAGAGTATTGCAATAGATTTTGATATTTTAGATTTAATGTAGTTTATGTGGGGTTTCCGGTTTAATTTATGGTCTATCATTACACCCAGGAACGTTGAAGAACGTTGAAACGTTGAAACCAGTTTTAAAAAAAAACATTTAATAAAAAATGTATATTAAGAGAGCTATAGAGGTCTAACATGATTAAAATAAAGAGGGCCAAGGTCAGGTTTCTTGGGTAGTGGGTGAACCACTGCAATTTTCATTTCAAACATTTTCATGTTATCACCCTGTTTGATCCAATCCCAGCCTTTTCATTTACCTGCTGACCTGCAGTAACCCCTGTTCCTGCCTTTCCCATCACAGCTGAGTGACACAGCAGTGGGACAGGAAGTTTAGACTACCTGCAGTGGATGTTTCTTCTTGGTTTTCTGGGAAATATGTAATGAATATGACATTTTGTAAGTATATTATCACAGTAATCCCCGTGGCAGCATACAATTTAACACCTTAATCTAAAATCAGACAAAAAAGGCAGCATCTAGCTACTGATTTGGATTTTAAGCAGTATGTTCATTTAGTATGTTCCAGTGCACAGGCAGCTGTTGTTTGTTTCTCTAACCTCAAAATGGATGGATATGGTGTTATATTGTCAAAGCACAGATTTCCTGTGGCTTAGTACACAATTAAGCAACATTTTATTTTGAAAGTCCAATGCTGATCACTGCTGGGCAGGTGGTGAAGTGTTTGCTGCAGCTCTACACATAAAGTAACACATCAGAATTATTCTTCATCACCTTCAATCAGCAGCACTTGTATTATTGACCAGCGCAGCACAGTTAATTTCCAGTGTACAGTAAGTGTGCATTTCTAGCATTTCTGTGTTTTTTCTCATCTTACTACACATAGAAATATATGTCATCTGTCATGTTCTCCCTCTGCAGAGACCACATAGTGCTCTTGTGATGTCGCACCGTCCTTCCACCACCACCAGCCTTCCCCAGAGTCAGTGATTGAATTGGATTTCAGCCTCTGAATACTTGTTTTACCCTCTCCACTGTTTTACTTTATTTTTTATTTTCATTTTGAATACATACCTCACAAGCACTACCTTTTCCTTCCGCTCTGCCCTCTCCTTCTTCAGATCAATGTGAAGAAAACATGAACTTAAATTACTGTAGATATGTAATTTCTATGTAGGATTGTACCACTGTGTA